CAATTAAAATAGATCAGATGTTCTAGGTTCAAAATAATTTTTTTTCTTTTGTCCTTTCACCAAATTACACAGTTGAATTTTTCATTCAATAAAAACTCAGATCCTACCCACCAATTCATCTAAATAGTGCGCTGTCAACAAAGATACATATACAGATATACAGTTATATATAAAACAATATTGAAATATGGATGCTTCTGTGATTCCTTATAGGTTTCTTATTGTTCTTGTTCTTGTTCTTCTATTTGTGTCTTGTAGCTCAGGAACAGAAGTGGTCACTATTGATATTTACAGAGCTAAAGCTCTTCTCCATTCTGGATATGGTTATCTTGATATCAGGTGAAAGATTCGTCTCTCTTATAATTCATGTATTTTTGAAAAAAATTTAATTATAATTTTTGGGTTTTTTAATTGAAGGTTTTTCTAATGATGGAAATTGATTGAATTGATAGGACTGAAGATGAGTTGAAGAACGGCCATGTAGATGTGAAGAACATTCTAAATATCCCTTACTTGTTAAATACCCCTGAAGGTGATTTTAGAATCAACTCATATAATATAGCCATTTTCTATTCTACTTTTGTTTATATATATTTATCATACATTGATTAAATAATGATTGATCAAATTTTCTATTGGAATTTTGAGTTACAGGTTTTGTGAAAAATCCGGACTTTGTGAAGCAGGTTTTATCAGCTTACGACAAATATGCTCATTTCGTCGTGGTAAAATATTTATAAATAAAGAAAAATATTTAAAAGGTATACACATTTATCTTGTATTTAATTGGTGATTTTTCCTATTCTTTTTATGCATGAAGGGTTGTGAAATTGGAGTGAGGTCTCTTAATGCAACTACCGATCTTGTTAATGCTGTAAGTTTGTCCTTTTCTCTTTACCTCTTATATTCAAATAGAATAAGAAATCTATTTGTGCTTTTACATTTCTATTTAGATTTTTTTTTTCATCAATTTTTTTTTTGAATACCATCTTATAAGTTTATCAGTAATATGAAAATTTTGCTTTACCAAAATTAAAAGAAAATTGCAGTTCACTGTAAAGTAACTAGGGATGGCAACGGGGCGGGTTGGGGCAGGGAATGCCTTCCCCATCCCCACCCCAAAACCGTTTTTTAAACGGGTAGGGTTGAGGTGAGGCGGGGCGGGGACGGGTTTTGTAGAGTACTTTTGTAATGGTAATAATTCTTTTTTATCATGCTAATGGAAATAAAATTTAACTTCTCAATTGAAATTTTAGATTTAATATTATTGTAAGAACAATAAAATAATACATAAAAGTTCTAAAATAAGAATAATACAAAAGGATATTTAGTGATTGAAATAAAATCAATTAGAATTTGTTTAATATATACCTCCTATTATTAAATATAAAATAAAGTATAAACACAAAATTGTAATTTATTACTATAAATCGGGCGGGGTGGGGCGGGGTGACCTTTCCCCATCCCTGTCCCATAACCATGCGGGTTTTCAATCCTAATCCCGATACCCTCCCCAAAACCATTTAACCAGCCCCATAACCGTTCTAAACGAGGCGGGGCGGGGTATTTTGCTATCCCTAAAAGTAACTTCTAAAACAAAGATATATATATATTGGTTGATTTTGTTTTATTCTTTTTAAAACTCTGATCAAGGTAAAGTGAATTTTACATACTAAGATTTTTTGGAAGGTTTGTGTTTGGATAAAGTACAAATTGATCCATTTCTAATTTTGTTACAATGGTAGACTATTTTATTAGTACGAAATTGGAAAAATATTTTCCTTTGGAGCTTCATTTATGAGCTGAGTGATTAAATGAGTCATTGTTCTTATGAAACTGCAGGGTTTCAAGCATGTGTTCGATATGGCTGGGGGTTATGCTGCATGGGTGGAGAATGGGTTCCCTGCAAAGAGGCCGTAAGTGGGAAAAATATTTTAGTTTTTTTGGAATAGTAACGACATGATATCACTGACTGATTAAAACTAACACGTATTAATAAGACCCATTGAAAGAAATGCACTTTTACTTTTGTGACAAGATATAATGAGTTGATAAAATGCATTTAAAAGCTGACACGTAGATTAAAAGATGACACGTTATCGGAAAAAAGTATTTATAAAACTTGCATGATCATTTTGTAGATTAGCACAAGCTCTGTTACCATGTTAAAAACCATTTATTTATATATGCAACAATATCGGAATATGGGTGCCTTTGCAATTCCTCGTGGGCTTCTTATTGTTCCTGTTCTTCTTTGTTTATGTCTTACAGTTCAGGAAAAGAAGTGGTCACTATTGAAACTTACAAAGCTAAAAATTTTCTCCATGCAATATATGGTTATCTTGATGTCAGGTGAAAGATTGGTCTCTCCTACAATTCATGCATTTTATTTTTTTTTATATTATTTTTGGGATTTTTAATTTAAGGTTTTTCTAATTTTGAAAAATGATTGGATTGATAGGACTAACGAAGAGTTCAAGAACAGCCATGTAGATGTAAAGAACATTACAAATATCCCTTACAGGTTCAATACCACCGAAGGTGATTTTAGAATCAATTTGTATAATACAGCCATTTTCTTTTCTGTTTTTGGTTTTTAAACAAATTTCTCAGATTTTGATTAAATAATGACTCATCAAATTTTCTGTTGGAATTTTGAATTTCAGGTATGGTGAAAAATCCTGAATTTGTGAAGCAGGTTCTATCAACTTGGGGCAAATTTGCTCATATAGTTGTGGTAATATATTTATTCATACGTGTAAATAAAGAAGAATATAAAAAAGACGTACACATTTATGTTGTATCTAATTGGTGGTTTTTTTCCTTTTCTTTCTACGCGTGAAGGGTTGTCAAATTGGATTGAGGTCCGTTAATGCATCTTCTGAACTTGTTCATGCTGTAAGTTTATCTTTCTTTTCCATTGCCGCCTTACATTCAAAATAATACGAGAAATCTATTTGTATCTATTTTGATATTTTCCCCATCAATTTTAATTTTTTATTTTATTTTATTATTATTTTTTTTTACCATCTTGTAAATATATCGAAAGAAATTGTAAAACCATATTCCTTTGGAGCTTCTTATATGTGTTGAGTGAGTAAACGACTCATTGTTCTTATGACATTGCAGGGTTTCAAGCATGTGTTCAATATGGATGGGGGTTATGCTGCATGGGTGGAGGATGGTTTTCCTGTGAAGAAGCCATAATTGGAGCTTTAATCATATGATTTTTGTTACCTCAATAAGAGGCATGAAAAATAAAATTTGTATATTTCTATTTCAGAATAATTTTTCTTCACAATTCATGTATTTTGTATTGTATTATTGATTTTTTTCACCCCAAGGATTATACAATAAATTCATACCAAATTTATCTCAAGACGTGTGTTTTACTTTTTAACTTTTCCTTGTTTTACTCATCTTTCTTCGTCTGATTACGTGGCGAATGGTCTTTGTGCCGTGTAAAAGCATGGGTATTCTGTTATATGGGTCGACACAAACACGACATGATTATTATTCGTGTTAAAAAATCTTGATACGAACACGATATGATTATTAGATGGATAACACGATATGACACGTGTAACACGTTTACTAAATATATCAAGACTTGACACGATATGAAATGACACGACAATATACGTTGAGTCATTTTTGACACGAGTACGACACGTTTAACTAAGTGGGTTATTTTTTATACGCGGGTTATAAACGGTTGGCAGTTCAAATACGAATATACCAAGTTTAATTACTCTGTCAATTCGGGTCGACACGATTACGGCACGAACATGATTAAGCCAAACTTAAACCCACTTTATCTTGTGTCGTGTTTTAGTCGTTTTAGCATGTCGTGTCAAATATTGTTACCCCTATTATATATATATATATATATATATATATATATATATATATATAACAAAGTTGAGACTCGAGAAACAAGTTATACTTGCAAAAACGTCAACCTGAACTCGACTCGACTCATACTAGACTCATATAAATTTTAGTCAGATGCATTCAACTCTAGACGCTATATCACGATTTCTTTAATAAGATGCGTTCGACTTTTGGGTGCCATATCAAGACTTCTTCTGTGAATGTTTTGACTAGGTGTTACTTTCATGAGCAAGAGTTTTAATCAATTAGGTCTGCTGCATAAATTAAAAGAGGTGTTGCAGCCATAATGCTCCTCCACACCTGCTAGAAGGACATTGTGAAAGGAACTACTTATTTTTGAACACTTGTAACAAATAGAATCTATCCCCAATCTCTAATCTCCTAAGCCAATTAATTAAGAAAGCAAAATTAAATGCCACTATATGATTAAACACATCAATTCTGCAAATAAATAAATAAAAAATACACTACCTTAATATATAAAAGGTCTTTATGATATTTCTAATATGCGAAAAAAAAAAAAAACCTACATGAAGTTTGAAATATCTATGTCTAAAATCTCTCATTTCTTCATGAATGCATAATAATCAACGTCTTATATTAAAATCAACCAATTCAAACCGGGAAATCATAATCCAATAGTAAAAAATGTCAACTCAATCACTAAACTATAAACTAAAAACTAAAAATTCAACCTATGAATATGGATTAAGGCAACAATTATGTAAGGAAATTCTTATAAATAATAAATCATATTTGATTTAATTAAATGTTTATCAAAGTTTTCTTATGTGAATTTTCATAAATTTTAATGAGGGACGGACCCAATAAAATATATACATATATTTTTATATATACAATAAATAAAATTTCACAAAAATCATCAAATAAGGAAAACATAAATGGAACAAACAACTCTAATGTTGTCTGAATTTTATTTTATCGTGTAAAACAGAGTTATATTATATATATCCAAGGAATATTATTTAATGTATCTCCACTCCAAAACAAGAGAGGATTTAACTGTTCCAAGAGTAGCAAGAAAAAAGAAAAAAGAAAAAAGAAAAAAGGCGCAATATATATACACACACACATATATACATATATGTATAATATATACACACATAGCAAGCGTAAGTAAACACAAATTCGTTGTAAACTTGTTAGACAGGAGAAAGCCCCTTTCTGCAACTCAATTCTCTGGACCTTGCCAATCTGCCACTATGGTGCTCGAGGTCATCTTTACCCCTTAGCTCGCTCTCTCTCTTTCACAAATTTTGCCTATCTCACGAACTAGGGTTTCTGATCGATCCTCTTCTTTGTCTTTTTCAGGCGACAATGATCTGTATCGACAACTCCGAATGGATGCGAAACGGCGATTACTCGCCCACTAGGTTTCAAGCTCAATCTGACGCTGTTAACCTAATCTGCGGAGCCAAAACCCAGGTACCCAATTTTTTGCATCCACACACTCACTATAATATATATATATATATATATATATATATATATATTTGTATCAATGTGTTGCGAAAACTTTTTCCTGTTGTATTTTAGTTAATTGTATTTAGGGTTTGGATAATCTGATGCGGGTTGTTTGAAATGCTTTGAATGATTTGTTACAGTCTAATCCGGAGAATACGGTCGGAGTTTTGACAATGGCGGGCAAAGGGGTTCGCGTGTTGGTCACTCCTACCAGCGATCTTGGCAAGATCTTAGCTTGCATGCACGGTTAGCTTCTGTACTTGCCTTTATTCTTTAAATTGTTTATATTTAGTTACTAGAACATCGGGGAGTGCGTATATTAATTGAATTCGGAAAATTGAAGAGTTGTGCAAAAACAAATTATGTGCTTTTGGAGTTATGAAAATTGCATATATGGGTTTGGTTAATGATGGCATGTTCACCTTTTGTGGGAATGTTTTGTCTAGTCTGATTTATAGAGTAGATGTGTGTTGACAACCATTGGAATACTGAGTTGATAAGATGTTCAGTTGACTGAGGATGTGATTGTTAGATATCTGAATGCAAATTGCATGAAGCTTAGTTTGGTCTAGTTGGTGTCGATTTTGGACTTAAATAATTCTTTAAACTTAAGAATTGAGGAGTTTTGATTGAAAATAAAAATTCCCTAGACAAAATTATTGTACCACTCCACTTATAATATGTATGTGTGTGTATTCTTAAAATGAAATGATACAATTGTACCTAGAAAAGCACTTTCACACTATACAATTGTCCAAGCAAGTACTTCTACGTTGCATTTTTAGGGCTAATTACGTGATCTCATCATTGAAAAGTAAATGCTGTGTGAATAATTGAATATCATATCTCTTTTGACGGGGAAATTTTTTTTGAAAGAAACTTTATAATAATTGAAATATATGTATGGAGAATTAAAAAGAAAAGAAAATTACCAATCCTTTCAAGCCTATTTGGGTTTGATGTATATTTGTACTTCAACCCTTTGGATAGGGTTGTATCTTACTTGGCTAAGAAAAAAAATTTTTAAAAAGAATTTATTTGAGTGGGAAATATTCCCCCACTGGGGACCTAAAGTAGTTCTGCCCTTGATGATGCTGCTCTCCTTGAAATATTGGAACTTGGCAACAACATGCATCAGTGACCAGACTTATTTGTTTTCTCTTATGTCACTAATTTGTCTGTCAAATTATTATAATTTTTTTCACTGGCTGAATTTGTAGGTCACTGTATGATGTGCGAGGTTTCTTTTTCTTATTTCAGGTTTAGACATAGGTGGTGAGATGAATTTGGCAGCAGGTATCCAGGTAGCTCAATTGGCTCTCAAGCATCGTCAGAACAAAAAGCAGCAACAAAGGATTATTGTATTTGCCGGAAGGTGGTTATGCATACTCGCTCCTTATTTAGATTTTTTTTGCAATACTCCTTTATTCTTTTATCCTTATCATTTCACATTCTTTTCTTTCAGTCCTGTTAAGTACGACAAGAAAGTACTGGAGATGATTGGAAGAAAGTTGAAAAAGAACAGCGTAGCTCTTGATATTGTAGATTTTGGGGAAGAAGAGGATGGGAAACCTGAAAAGCTTGAGTCACTTCTTACTGCTGTAAACAACAACGACAGCAGTCACATTGTTCATGTTCCTTCTGGTCCAAGTGCTCTTTCTGACGTGCTTATAAGGTTCTGGTCATTCTTCATCTTTGTTTGCTCATGTTCTTTCAAATTTACTTTAGAGGTCTGAGTTATTTATTTCCTCTTTTCCATGTTAGTACTCCTATCTTTACCGGTGATGGGGAAGGTGGAAGTGGTTTTGCAGCAGCGGCTGCAGCAGCTGCAGCTGGTGGTCTATCTGGTTTTGAATTTGGTGTGGATCCTAACCTGGATCCTGAACTGGCTCTCGCTCTCCGAGTTTCAATGGAAGAGGAGAGGGCAAGGCAAGAAGCAGCTGCTAAGAAGGCTGCAGAGGAAGCTACAAAACAGGAAAAAGAAGAGGGACAGCAATCAACTTCACAGGATGCAGCAATGACTGAAAATGTCAGTACTGCAGTTTCTGAGGCTGAAAATAAAACAAATGATCTAATGGTTGGTGTCCTATTTGCTTTTAACTCTTTTATTGTCCCTTTCTAAAAGTGCCATGCTATAATAGTAAATATCCATCTATGTTATATGCACTCTTCTAAATGTCAAAAGTACTTGTCTTAATGCCATATGATATACATCCATCATGTTTGGATGGTTACATGACTAACGTGGCTGGCTATATAGTTATATATAAAAAATATCTCATTATTCCCCTTTTACATGGTTTCTTCAAACTGAGTGAAATGCCATGAATGCTCTATGTTTCCTAGAAATTGTTTTACTCTATAACGAATAATGTTTAAGAATCTGAATTATTTGTCCATGTATCCTTGTCCTTGGTTTTTGGTAATGAGATAATTCTGATGCTTAGATAAATACCAATACCGGTACATTCGTTTAAGTCCATGTAACATAAACACTCATGTAGCACATCTCAATTGCTTACATATTTAGAAGTCTTGAATTTGCATTTTCTTTATCATTAAACTACCAATCATCCCATTTAATTCACTCCATACTCAGGCTCATGTTTGTACAAGCTACATAGGAGATGCTACGAGTTGATATAACTAGGAAAAGTGGAAGTTTCATTGACAATGTGCTCTTACAATTTCTTCCTTTATTGTGACCCACAACCAATATAAGTTTTTAGAAGAAAGGCATTCCTAAAACTTTGTCATCTCATGCTTATTCAATTGTAAACTGAATACTAAGATATAGATCCGTAATTTTTCATACTATCGTGCGTCACTCAGACTTCAGAACCCCTTAGCTTGTCGTAATTGGTTTTAGCATATGAATATTAGCGTATAGCTGTATATTGTAGAAAATGATATCCGGGTATAGTTTGGTCCGGTCCTTTTAGCTTTTTCTTGGACAGGCATACTTCATTTTAAGATGGGTAGATCTTTGGATAGAACTCTCTTTCTCTCTCTTATGTATATATAAATATGTGTATGTATATATATTTTGATAAATAGGATGGACCTCTATATTATGGTTGCTTTTAGCTCATATTGATAGTTACCCCAGGTAGACGGCACAACAAGCTGAGCTTCTGAAGTGGCATGCTATTATTGATGCGGATGACGGTGCTAGCAATTCATATGCTTTACAGATCTAAACATTCAATTTTTAATCCTTATTGGAGCTATTATTTATTATGTTTGTCAAGGAACTTTCTATCATAGATTGCTAGACTAAGAAGCACGGATATGGACACGGATACGGCGACATGGAAGATCGTAAACGATTAAGACACGGACATGGCGACTAATAAATATATATGATCATATATGTTAAGATTAATATTATTTTTCATCCACCTAACAATGAAAATTTCACAAGTCATAATATTTAACAAGCTATAAGAATAAGTAGTTTATCATTTAAGGAAATGCACAATTGAATCCACTCCACAACACCAATAGTAATTGTTTTTTAAACCAAAATTTTTAAATATTTTATGTTATGACTGCTATATTATTTAAAATATTTAAAGAAAGCATATTTACACTTTTAACTCATCTTTCTTTTTAAAACTAAAACACCCTAACAATACGATATGTGTGTCTGGCATGTCCGTGTGTCCGCAGCGTGTCTTGACAATAAAAAAAAAAATTTCCAGACATGTCTTTTGGCATGTCTGACAAGGATTCTTTGACCTTTAGGTGTGTCTGTGCTTCCTAGCTGCTAGAGAGGTTGATATGGTTTAGCTAATAATGGGATAGACTGAAGAGAGTGAACTAAAAATGAAGTTTAGGAGGCTAACAAAACTGGAAAAAACCAATTGAGATCAGTTATCTGTAGTGTCTGGATTGAAGGTTAGAGAAAAGATTCAAATCCTTGTACTCTCGGGCTTGTGTAAACACAAGGAGAGGTGACTGATGGATGGTTGGCGTTGGAGTGTAACTTGTCTGGCTTGGGTTGGTTGGGGGTAAGCCCAGGCTTAAATGAGCATTACAGCATACGTCCAAGCCCAATTAAACTCAACCTTCAGCCCAATTAACCCTAAACAGAGATCAGCCTGACTGCAAATTTATGAGATTAGATTCCCCCCCCGCCCTCCCTCCGCCCCAAAATAAATCAACAGAAGTAGAACAATCAACTCCGAACAATTTTTTCCACGTATCAGGAAATTTTAGAGAAAAAATTGGAATCACTAGCTCAAACGATAATACAGAAAGCACATTGCTTACTTATCAAAAAAAAAAACAGAAAGCACATTGCTGATCCTCCATCATTTTTAGAATCATCATCATCCTTGTCTTAATCCCATAAAATGATGTCAGCCACATCCATTCTCTTTTTCAATTCTTTTCTATTACAAGTCATCTCACCTGTACTATTTAAAATAATTTCTAATAACTTCATCCCACGATAATTTTGATTGTCCTCTTTGTCTCTTACTTTTATACAAAGCATTATATGGATAAGAAAATTGATACAACTTGAATTTTTAAACAACTATAATTGTATTCGTGTGTTGTTGTTTACTTTTCGGTAAGTGTTGTTGTTGTTTGCGTGTGTGTGTGAGTGGTGGGTGGGAGTTGGTTCTGCCCAAGTTGGGTTGACTAAGACCTTCTTCCAGGCGCAACCAAATTTGAAGGTCTGGTTGAGTTTCTCCAATGCCCAGCCCCAGCCATGGTAAAGAGAAACTGCCCAAGCCAAACCAGTATTCAGTTTGGGCTTGGGTTTTTCTGGTTGACGCATCCTACTTGCAATCATAACTACAGATTCAAATCCTTGTACAAATATTTCAAAGCCACATATGATTTTACTTCAATATGTCTCTTGCACCAAAAATGTGAACATTGCTAAGCTCAGACGTGTTTTTTTGTTTTTGGTTGGGTAAATTCAGGCGTTTATTTTTTTGTTGCATTGCTTGGTTTGTTTCTTCCTTTTTTACCCATCCAAAAACTGGTTGTTCTGTTTGGCACAAGATTTCGTTTAAAATTGTTCACACCTTTCATTTCCTTCTCTTATATGTTGTGGGGTGGTTGATCTATGTCCTTGCTTGTGGTTTTAATTATCGTTTGTTAGTACAATTAGTATTTACTTCATTTCACCTTGAATTGCTTACAGGATGATGAGAATGCTCTGCTACAGCAGGCCCTTGCCATGTCTATGGATGACCCTGCTGCTGCTGCTAGCGTTACTACGAGAGACACAGATATGTCGGAGGCAGCTGCAGATGATCAAGATTTAGCACTTGGTGAGTTCTTATTTTTGGTTAAGCCTTATTTCATTTATGTATACGGCTGTACATCCTGTCAAGCCTCTATGTCAAATCCGATTCAATCAGAGTTTATATACACTGCTCTTCTTCCTACTAGTCTCGTGTCTGTTGAGTGGTTCATTAATGTCCTTCCTGCACTGGTGCATGAAGTTTATATCACTATTGGTGTTTCAATATGGCTTAACTTTCACTTACCAAAAAAAAAATGGGGCTCAACTTTCAAGCATTTCTACTTGAACACTTATCTCTTTTCACATCTTGATGCATATCTATACTTTAGTGCTGCGGCCTTCAAAAGTAATATTTATTTTCTTGTACATTTCCATAATTTCAGACATATAATCTGGGCAAGCATGTGAGAGGTTGTCAAATGATAGATGGCTATGATTTATTATCTGGTTATGTTTTCGATTTAAGTTTTCTTTACGTAATTGCCTTATTTTCCAAATATCCGGTGCCAGTCCAACCAATTACTACAAACACAATCTTTGCTATTATTTGTTTGAACTAATATTTTCTATCAAAAATCCCCCCTTCCTCCTATACTTTTTTACATCATTTTTTAGTCTTTCATGACAGACAGTGAGGTCATTGTCTATACAGTTTTGAACTGTCTCTGACAGTTGGATGGTGTTTGGCTTGTTTTGAGATTGCAAACATTATTCAAATGTGTGATTAAGGACTTCCGTGTATTTGTTCGGTAACTTGTGGGGCACATTGTTACTTTTTCCCTCATCAGGGCACTGAAACTAATCATCTGCGACCTTAACTAACTCTGCTAAAAAAAATAGCCTGTGAAAAACCTGATTTTTCCCCCATTCCCGGATGGCCTCCACCAAGGTGAATTTCAGACGCTGAAACTTACTACTTATAGCCTTAAATTTAAAGGACTTAACCTATGTAGTATTTTCTGCATTAGTAATTAAACATTACTGATATCCTTGTTGGATTGTGCTGATATTTTTCCCTTCTTGTGGCACATGCAGCTCTTCAGTTGTCTGTGCAAGAAGGTACAAAAGATGAAGGAAGCCAGACAGATATGAGCAAGCTGTTGGCAGACCAGTCTTTTGTTTCATCTATCCTTGCTTCGGTATGTAAACTATACCTCCTCTTTCAACTTTATATATGATAGCCCCCCACCACACACACAAAAGGAACTTCCTAGAAAAAAAATGTGTTATGAGTGTTCATTTCATGATGCATTTGTTGTTGCTTTCACAGCTTCCAGGGGTTGATCCGAATGATCCTTCAGTCAAAGATTTACTCGCATCTATGCAGAGTCAGTCTGAGGTGAGTTCTTATATAGGTTTTGCTTTTCGAATTAAATGACATACTGATAATTTATTTTCCGTTATGATTGTTTTGCAAGTTAGTGAATATGCACTTTTTATGTGACGAGCGTAACAAGTGAGAGTTGAGAATGAGTAATGTCGGAAAGCAATATATGTGAATGAATGAATAAAATACTCTTCGGAAGTAGTATTAAAATTGGATTACGCTTATTTCTGAACAAATTAAGTGCTTTCCTTACTTTTACCCTTGAGTCTGTCAGTCTGTGGTTTAAGTTGAAAAACCAACCTTGGAGATTTTGTTAAATATAGCAGCTTCATCTTGCTACTTCAGCATTATCTGAACTACTTGTTGACAGCTACATAAATCACTTTTGGCCATTCCGTCTTCACCTGGGATTATTATGTATATTATGTGGACTTCTTATTTCTTCAAGTATATTTGTCTTAGTCATATGCCAAATTAAGATTCACCATTTTGTGTGTGTGTGTGTGTGTGTGTGTGTTGGGGGGGTGTGGTGGAGGAAATACTTCAGAGTGTAGTCCATTTTCACCTTTGGACCAAAGAAGAAAGAAGGAAAAAATCTCTCCATTCCATTATTGGTTTTGGATATTTATAGAATATAGTAAGGAGCATTTATGTCCTGAGAAAATTAGAGCCGCCAGTCAAAGTCTTAAAGTAGGTTACAATGAAGAGCACTTGGGTTTTACTTTGTGTCTGAAGTCCAAAAGCATGACTCCAAAACCCGCACAGGCAGGCAACATGGCTTTCTCAAACTCGGGTGTTTTTGGGATTCATTTATAGCTATTCATTTAGCCATTCTTCTAGATACGTGGATGAGTGCAACTGAGATTCTAGATTTTACAATTAACGAGTGGCTCTGAATTGGGTTGATTTAGGTTCCTCAGTTTCTGTTTGCACTCTCTCAACATTTTTATTTTTTTCAGTGACACTGCTTCACTTGCAATCTAAATCAATGATAGTTAGAGCAAGTTTGTTGGATTCCATAAGAAATGGAGTTAAAAGAGGGATATCAATCAATTGGCTTGTGTGGGCATCTTGGGAATTTGTCTAAAACAAATTTGAGAGCTATTATTATTTACACGAAAAGCTTAAATGAACATTTCTTGGTGAACTACTTTTATTTCATTGCACATTGATATATAATTTTTCCATAGTCCCAACAGGAGAAGAACGAGGAGGATAAGGAAAAAAATGAGGACGACAAAAAGTGATGATGCTGTGGATTTGATGTCCAATGTCGACAGGTGCAATTTCTGAATTTCCCGAACTTTTGTTGTCTGTAGGACACTTCAAAAACGCTTTCAACTTGACGCGCACATCTTTGCCAATCTTTTAATACTGCTCGGTCGATTTTCAAGCTTAGCTAATTTTGTATGGCAAAACTTCTGTCTTGCAGGACAGGTAGTTCTCCTTTGTGGTTGGAATGGTGGTTATTACATGCCTATGGAGGACTTTATAAATGACCGTTTGCATGGATAGGGCTTCAATTGAATTTTATTTCTGTACTGCTTCATTATAATGTGAACTTTCTTCCTTCTTTCTAATTAATTATATATATATATATAATTTTATTAAGGATCTTTCTAATTATATTATTTACTCAAATGAAAATTGATGTTTTTCATAGTTTTTGTACAAATTGAGATTTTGCTATGGGAGAGGATCGAATTATATCTGTAGCATGATGACCTATAACTTATTTTATATTGGGAAGTGGACAAATTGATATTCTTTCAACTAAATAATGAATGCTAGGGAAATTTGACTTTAGTTTACTATGATAAATATAAGAAAATAGTTTGGTAAAAAAAAAAAAAAATGAAAATTAAGCCATAAATTAAGAATCTAGAATCTGATTCCAATGTCTATGCACGTGAAAGAGCAAGTCTATTGTGATTGTACGCTCAATTTATGTCTTACTAACAATTAGGTCATGTGATGGTGGCACGGTAATGAACTGGTTCTAATATGTCCTAACGTCTCCGTTATGATTCCTTGTTTAACAGTGCTATCGTTGTGGAGCTGGTAGCAATACTCTTGATTTGTAGCTCAGGGTAGGTTCAAAAGGTCCTACCAAAAAATAATTAATAATAACAATAAAATAAAAACTTGTTTGAATTGACGGAAAAAAGGAAAAGAAAAAAAGAAGAAGAGGGAATTTAATTTGCGTTTGTTTAAAAGAGCAAAGTAAAAAAAAAAAAAAAAGGATTTGGAGAAAAATTAATAGTGTTTTAGTAACAACTCTTTTTGGTCCTATTTTTCAAAATTAATCAATTGTTGTTCTGCTTTAGACTCCGCAAGAAAGGAAAAGAAATGAAAAATGAAAAGAAAATTGAAGTGAATGAAAAGAGAATTGATTTTTTAGTATGTATTTGGTTAGGATGAAAATTTCTATAAAAAAAAGTATAGGAAAATATCATATTATAGTTTGGATACTTAAATTATCCTTATTTTATAAAATAATAAAGAATTAATAATAAAATATATTTAAAAAATGATAAAGTTTTTAATTAATTTAGATTTTTTGAATTACTATTAATCATATATGATGAAAAACAACTAGGAATGGAAGTCAAATTAATTAAAAGTTTATTAATGATAAAGTTGTTAGTGGGCTTCAATTCTTTGAATAGTAGAAAAAAATTGTTGTTGTTTTCAAATATAAAATAAAGCTGTTGGTTAAAATGAAATTAATGAAGTTGTTGAGTAAAATAGGAACGCTAAATAAAAAGACATGCTTTAATAGGAAAATAAAATTTCTCCGTATTTTGTGAAGGAAACATTTTGAAGAAAATAAAGGGTTACAAAAATTCTAATTTTTTAGAAAATTTTTTTTTTTCTTTTAAACCAAATTATAAAAAGTTTTACAAATTTTTTATTTCTTTTCTTTTTCAATTAACTCTATGGAAAAAAAAAAAAAAAAAAATTCCCGCCAATTCGGTCTTAGGCGATACACAACAATGTGAAGATAAACGTTCGAGACTTCAAATAAAAAAACTCAAACTCTGCCAACATTTGTCCTCTTCTACGCTAAATGTTGTCTTAACTTCTAAATTATTCAACCACCTGAAGAGAATAAAATTATCAAATTTATTTTTCTTGGAAGTTATCTTATTTTTCTTGGAGGTTCCCAATACAGATAATTAAAAAAAAGGAAAAATTACATATAAATGGAGTAAAAGTTTCATATTTATTTAGAGACTGAGTCAAAGTTCCATATTTCTCTAAAATGGATTACTGAGGTGGCACATGGTTTTTTACTGTTTAAAAAATTGTGATACCTAAAATGCCCTTCCCTAACAAAAAAGTAGTACCTTCAGTTCAAAAAAGTAGTACCTTCAGTTCAAAAAAGTAGTACCTTTGGAGAAAAATTAGTACTTTCGCGAGTGTTTAAAAAGTATGGTACCTGGACGTCAAAAAGTAGTACCTTCAGTTCAAAAAAGTAGTACCTTCGAAGAAAAAGTAGTACCTTCGCAGAAGGGTATTTTAGGCATCATAATTTCTAAACAGTAAAAAACCATGTGCCACCTCAGCAATCCATTTTAGAGAAATATGGAACTTTGACTCAGCCTCTAAGTAAATATGGAACTTTAACTCCATTTATATGTAATTTTCCCTAAAAAAAACTCTATTACACGTGTAGCCTCCTCATTGCGACACGCATACTCCCTTCAATTTCATCCCCCTCTCTCAATTCTCAAGCAAAAACCAGATCAACAATGGCGTGCCAAAACCCTAACATCCGAACCCCAATGTACCCCGACGTGATCCAATCACATCCAGACACCTCATCCTCATTTCTCCCAAACCCTAACCCTAACCCTAACACATCTTCCTCTCTCTACCCCACACTCGACATGAAAGACCTCGTCGACAACCTATTCCCTGAAAATTACGAAACTGGCCCTAAACCCAACGCTAACTCCCCTTCCGCCCCTCCCGTGTCCCTCGAAGAGGTCCTCATCACCGTCCCCGGATCGATCCTCCATCTGATCGACAAAGAGTACAGCGTCGAGCTCGCTTGCGGCGATTTCGCCCTAATTTGCCTCCGACAAGCCGATAACGTCGTCGCCGTCATCGCCTGCGTCGGCAGCGAGATCCAATGGCCTCTGACGAAGGACGAGGCCGTTGTCAAGCTCGACGACTCGCATTACTTCTTCTCATTCTGCGCGCCAAAAGAGAGCGAATCGGATTCGTATGTCTCGGATGATGTGTTGAATTACGGATTGTCGATTGCGTCGAAAGGGCAAGAGGGTTTGTTGAAGCAATTGGATGGAGTTTTGGAGAAATATAGTAGTTTTTCGGTGCAGAAGGTGGAGGGGAAGGAGAAGTCGGAGGTGTTGGACGGAACGGTGGCGAGGGAGCTGTCTCCGGCGGACTTGAAGTCGGAGGAGAAGAAGGAGTTGATGGAGGAGAGGTGCGCGGCGTACTGGACGACGTTGGCGCCCAATGTGGAGGAATACAGTGGGACTGCGGCGAAGATGATCGCGGCGGGCTCCGGGCAGCTGATCAAGGGGATTTTGTGGTGTGGTGATGTGACTATTGAGAGATTGAAATGGGGAAATGAGGTTCTGAAGAAGAGGATGAAACCCGGTGAGAAGTCGGAAGTCAGTCCGGACACATTGAAGAGGATCAAAAGGTTTGTCTTTTTGTTGTTTTTTGTTCTCTGGTTGTTGATTTGCTTTTGTTTTTATCTAGAATTCACATTCACATTTGTATGTTTCTGTTTGTACACGTGCTGTAAATTGCTTGTTTGTTTTTCCTTTATGTCTGAAGTCCGTTTTAGATTATGTTGAGTCTTGAAATAATCAGCAAAATAAACAAAATAAAATCAAAGCACTTAAAATGAACATTAAAAACAAAGATGTATGAACCATTTCACAAAGTATGTGTCCAAATAGTCCAAAGTATTAGGTCTTGGTCTTCCAGTCAAAAAGCACAAAACAAAGGTGATGAACTATTCATGAATTTCCCATTTGTTACTTGGGGTTCGGCTAAAATACCTCCTTACATCCACAAGCATGATCCGAGCTTTTTCTTCGCTACAAGAAAATTGAAATTAACCATACAAAGCACAGAGAAGTCAAGTTTGCTGTTTGTAATGGCATGGTAAACTTGATCTCTTGCCAAGTGCTTTGACAATTGCAATTCAGCTCCAACTCTTCCTGCTTCAGTCCTAATTCCTTGATCGAATTGGTTAACCACAAAGTCCTTCACAGCTCAGTAAAAAATAAGATTCTGGATTCCATCTTACTCTCAAGTTCCTTAATATGCAATTAGCTGCATTCTAGTTCTCCTTAGATTATCCATATGTACTCACCCACAACACTAACTGCATGAGAGAGATACTGTCTACTGCAAATTATGGCATACATTTAGCTTCCCACTGCACTAGCATACGTACTCAGGACATTTCCCTCACCTCATTATCTGTAAAGATACATAATATAACAAATATTTTAAAAGTGCTTAGATGGAGTAGTAGTGACCGGTTTTGTATTAACCCATGTATTATTTTCCCTATTGGACTATGCCTAATTTGCATTAACCTGCACTGAGAGTGTTTCTCTATGAGCCTTTACCTGCTTATTGACCTCTTCCCTTTTTAAGTTGAGCATATCTTCTTCATTGGATACTATGTCCAACTGACCCCAACTTACCAATGCAGCTGGATCTTTCAGTGTCTGATCCTTCCCTTGCAGAAGCACAAAATTTATAACATTTCACACCTTTTTTATAGTAACAAATATGCCCTTTTCATTTACCACCCCAAAAAAAAAGCCTTTTTGGGTCCAACTTTGACCGTTGCTGTTCCTGCACTAAACATAAGCTGGATTTCTAATATACTTAAATTAGAAAATTAATTGATTTACCCATCCAAACATTTTCAAGGACCTTTACATGATAGCTGAAGATGGTGACCAGTTAACCTATTCTGGCCTAAATGATCTTCTCTACTACGAGAAAAAATGAGAATAACTTTATAAGCATAAAATTACTTACCGCTAATAGCTTTCTTGCTTTTAAATCCTATCAAATTAGATTTTATGTAATTGATTGAAATAAAGCGAATATATTGACTGGGACAAAGGACACCATAAATGACAGTTTTGTTCTTTTATTGCTTTGTCTTCATTGTTTATATGGAGAAAACGTTGGTATGTCGGGTTCATTGGCCTTAAATTGAGGAAAAGATAATGTTATGGTTTGGTTATTCTTGTAGGGTCAAGAGAGTGACAAAGATGACAGAGAAAGTAGCAACTGGGGTCCTTTCTGGGGTAGTGAAGGTTTCAGGGTTCTTCACGGGGAAAGTGGCAAACTCAAAATTGGGAAAGAAGTTCTTTGGCCTCTTGCCAGGGGAAATTGTCCTTGCTTCCTTGGATGGATTTAGTAAGTTGATAGTCTCTTTAATGTTATATGCTTATTTCCATTTTGGATGTTGTCGACCAAATTTTAGTGAATTCATGCTTTAATTTGCTGCTATATATTTTGAAACTTATGGGCACTTGCATTCAATTTAGATTTGCTTACTTCCATTTATATTTCAGTTATTATTTTGTGAACCGTGTATTGTTCTTTTTCCTGCATAGGTCTTAGCGGATATAGGTTGTTTTCATCAGGGGAGTATCCAAGGTTGTCCACAGATGTCAAATGTTCATAGTCTATCTCCCTCTTGTGGTAGTTTCCTTTCACATGGACATTCTTGGGTCCCTCTCAATTGTGGAGCTGACTTTGTGACAGGACAACACTGAGGCTTTAGGTGTTAGCCTATCATAGGCTGCATTGATCTTCCTAGTTTTAAGCTATATATGTACAAGTAAACTTGCTGCAAAAGAGGTAGCTGTTTTAATGAGCTGTCGACTTTTAAGTGATTTGTTCGTTTCAGTGGTTTGTGAAGCACTCACATCAAGCTTTCCATGGCTTTCCATTCTCTTGAGAAAATGAAAACTACTTTATTGTGTCAAATGATTGAATTGGCTTTGCTACACGGCAAAAGTATTTAATTAAAAAGATTAAAAATGGTGATTACTGAATTAGCTGCAATTTGAGCAACAAACGATGACCCAGACAGCAACAATAGTACCTTTTGAACATTTTATTTTTATTTATTTTTTAAGCAAACCTTTTGATTATTGAAGAACCACATTTCAACGTTAATATACATATTTTCCTACATCATGGTTTCCTCATCGCCGTTCAAATTTTCCTCCTAACATAATTGTTCTTGTGAATAGGCAAGGTATGTGATGCTGTTGAAGTAGCTGGAAAGAATGTTATGTCAACCTCATCCACTGTGACGACCGGACTTGTCTCGCACAGGTAAACTCCTCCTGTGTTATGCAACAAAATTATGATAGAAGTAATAAATCAAAGATAAGTACCCCCCGCCCCACTATAATTTTCGAGATGATGATCTATCCACATGGTTCAGCATCATGTCTTGCCAATCAATGGAGATAACTCCACTAGTAAAAGAAGAAAAAATAATGAAATTAGGAGGTTATCTTGTGTGGTTAATTGACACCATTTAACTAAGAGAATTTAACTGATTTGGTAACAACAAAATATTTTTATGGCGTAAAATGCTTAGTGCATGGATAAAATGTTGTGCTCAAACTCAGGTTTGAATTCTGAGGTTAGCCACTTTGGGCAAATAATGCAAAAAAAATTGGTCCACCCTTCCCAACACCCTCGATTAACGGGACCACACTACTGGGTAACCCTTTTTTTTTTTACCCCAATCCCCACCTTTCTCTGCATGTTGCAGTTAAGAATGATGTTCTCACCCTTTTTGATTTGTTTCTTATCAAGTCTGGTTCCAGATATAAAATCCAATCCAATTTGACTGTCCTTTCCTATTTGTAATTTTGTATACAAGGAGTTACGAAACCTTCAGCTATCTTTTGACAATCAAGCACCACCAAACCACAGACATGCTTATGGTGACCTTGGTAGATTAACATTAATTAACATAGCTGCCTATGCTGATCCAAACCCCAACCCATCATCCTAAACTTAATGCGCGAGAGTTGGATACCATCTTGGCACCCACACACGGGGTTTAGGTGTAGTACCACTTGTCTCAAGAAGGGAATTATAGAATGAGATACCCTACTAATCCAACCCATTTCCATTTCTTAACATAATAGTACAATATGAGATTATGCAATTGTAATATTTATAATACATGAATTCGGAAGATGGAATTTGTCCTGATGCAGGTACGGTGAAGATGCAGCTAAGGCAACAAATGAAGGGCTTGGTGCTGCAGGACATGCCGTGGGGACCGCATGGACTGTTTTTAAAATTCGAAAAGCACTCAATCCAAAAAGTGTTCTCAAACCTACTACCCTGGCCAAGTCTGCTGCAAAAAAAACTGCTGCTGAGATGAAGGCGGCTAAGAGTTCCAAGTAGATGATCGTTGTTAATTTGGTCGATGTTAAATGTCTAGCTAGCTCTTGTACATGGTGTGGCATTAGTAAAGTTAGCAGGCTTGGCTCCGTGCACCGCCTATTGAAAAGTAAGCATTAACCTCTGATCAGCTCAGCTTTAAATTCATGGTACCGGAAGTTGAATCTCGAATCTCAACGGAACAATTTTTTAATTTTTTTATTTTTGTATCAAAATTTTTTGTCCTATTTTCTTTATGGACTTAATTATGGATTATGGTGCATCTCCTGTCACTGTATATTTTGGTGTTTGGTGTCAGGATTATTTATACTGGGCATTGTGCAGTATCTTCTGTATTGTACACTTCTGTTGTATAATGAATCTTCTCTATTTGGCTACAAGGAAAATGATGAATTCATTAAAAGAGTACTAAAATAATACCAAAAGTAACTACTCATGCGTTTGGATTGAAGGAATTGGAAGGAAATGAAATGAGGATGAAGAGCTTATTCTTATCCTCAAAAAGGTCAAAAATGGCAAAAGAAAAGCATTTCCAGAGAAAAGTGTAGTAATTGCCCAATACCTCTAGGGTTTTTTTTTTTTTTTTTTTTTTTTTTTTTTTTTTTTTTTTACTTGCATAATAAAACACATGTTCTTGTTTTTTTATAGCAAACAAATTGTCAATCTGTTTTCTTACTCCATTGTTAAAAAATCTTAAATGCCCCCATATATACTAAACTTCGAAAAATTATTAGATTCTCCGGGATGACTTGGTCACCAGTTTTATTAGGAGACGCAAGGACAGACCCAAAATATTATGTGAGATGGACAGATATGTGAGATGGACAGATCTTTAACGATGATAATAATAATAATAATAATAATAATATATGGTGGGTCTTTTTGTAATTTCATTGGGGGCAATTTTAAAATTTTATAGGTATATAATTTAGAATAAAAAAATTGATAGGTATATAATAGCAAAAAATAAATAAAAAGCAGTGGGGGCAATCGGCCCCACTTAGCCTTTGCTAGGCCTATGCGTGAGGAGATATCCATGTGTCAGCTTCATTCAATTTTTTAGTTGCATGTCCGAACAACCTAATAATTTCTTAAACTTCACACTATGCTCGAGCCAATAATGGTATGTATTGTCCCATCAACATGGTGTCCTAGGTCTAGGGTTTCCATGCATGGTCTCTAAATTCCCAAACATGGTCTATACATGGCCTAACAAAGTTCTGGCTGATGGAGGACTTTTCAACCACCAATATAATGTTCTTTTCTCTTCCCTAATTAGAAGAAAGTTGAAGAATGAAAATGCTCAAGGACAGTCAAGTAATTTTTTGCCACTTAAATTCCCATACTATTAACGGTCAAATTTGTCAAAGGCAACTGAAAAAAGATAGAGATGTGGATGAGGAATTAAGTGAGTAACACCACCACAACTTCCCACATTTGAAAATTACAAGCAAATGTGCCTCCCAAAGTGGACATTGACACAAGTAGTAATATTTAACACACCGACCTCAAATCTCTCTCTCTCTCTCTCTCTCACACACACGCACTCTCTCTCTCTGGTTCAAATAATTCTTGCTAATGTCCTATTGCAGTCTCATCTTACTTTATAGATTTAGGAGAATAAAATGGAGCTGAAAGCACATAGAAACCCCTCTGTGGTGAGCTTTGAATCTTCACCAGCTTCAATCGCACCAATGGGAATATGGGATCACTGCTGAGAAGGGTGTGCAACAAATTTTCTGGCTTTGCCTGTTCTTGGAAAAGAGGTCACTGTCACCGCGGCCGAGGAACTCTCCATATGGATGTTGAACAAGAAAAAATTCCCATAAACAAAGTCAATTATGGTAACTGAAATTTTCCCATAAACAAAGTCAATTGAGTGGCTAATAGAATCATTTACACACACAAACAAAAAAAAAGTAGATGCAAACAACATGACATTATCATGGTTAAGGTTGAAATCAAGCATGAAAGCATTAATGAAGAGATCTTATATTGATGATTCAAATCTTAAATGTCAAACCAGAGAGTTTACCGCCTAATGAATGTTAGGAAAAAAGCTATTATTTTAGTCACCTTTATCATAGAATTATGTGCAATGAAGCCCCAAAACAATAGATAGTCCCCAACTCTGCTAAAAGTGCCTCATCACACCTGAGATTCTATCAAATGCTATCCGCAACATTGGCCACCCTCGCTGTATACACCCCCAATATGTTCTGCTTGCAGTCAGCCTTCCCATTAATATTTCTGCCAAAAACTAGAGGACAATTATTTGAGGTTGTGATACCTCCCGATTTTTGAATGCGGATTGGTCAGGCCCACGTCCGAATACCTGAGGATGTAAAGAACAAATTGGCAATAAATGAACACAGAGTACAAAAGAATAAAGAAGAATAAATAAAATGCTGACAAGAACTAAAATGATAATCTAATAATAAATCTCAGAATATATTTCCATTTATTAATAAACTCTTCTGATACAACTGATTCTCAAAAATACAATTCGAAAATTCATACTGTGCGGACCCCTAGAAAATCCAAACTAAACAAATGACAGTAATAACTGTCTAAATTAGGAAACTGAATCATAAAGGAACTCCTATGTAGCATCGGAAGAATGAAGTAGACTGATCCCCGCTCAGTACGAACAACCTCTACTCCTGACGAACACCTGAAAAATAATGGTGGGTCAGGCCCACAAACAAGTTCTACTCTACTACAGTCCAAACAGAGATCCGATACACGTATACATCCTAGTCAATCCAACAGTAATTAGTAGTCCGTATATATATATATACACACACTAAAGGAACCTCACTAGACTATAGGGTTGTCTCAACCTGAATAGTAGGCAACATGCAAAACGCACATATAGTGGCCATGAGTACCTAGACCTACCACGATACACAACTACACTATATCTAGCTATACATCCCTGGCGATATACGCACCCTAACCACTGATCCTGAGACTCAAGCTCATATCATGGCACCATACTTATATATATAAAATCTAGTAACCATCCTATTCAGTATAAATTAATCATCCATAAGTCATTCAACTTGTTCAGCTGACCTGACTTGAATATAAGTAGGACTTAACATTTTAGTTAATCCATCCCCTTATATAATAAATTAATCCTCCATAAGTCATTCAACTTGTTCAGCTGACTTGACTTGAATATAAGTAGGACTTAACATTTTAGTTAATCCATTCCCTTATATAAAATAGGTAGGACTTAACTGATAAGTTAATCCGTCTCTAGAATGCCACCGTCCCATACCGGTGCATTAAACCACACAATCCAGCAATTGATGTAACAATTAAGGAAATACATCAAACAATCCAGAAATAACTATGATAATATGATATCAAGTTATCACAAAATATGAATGACTTATTATTTATTTAAGTTTCCTCTATCATATGTCCTACATAAACTGAATCTTTTACATATGATGATATTTTATTATACCGTCAAATAAGCATTCTCTATATCCAATTCTTTTACACATTTAATCTCAATTGCTAAAACATATTAAAAGATTAAATCAATTCGTTTGTTTAAAACATTCAAATAGCAAGCATCATTATGATTGAGTCTATTTAAATTTATTTAAACCCAAACCTAGTTCATATTTAATGTTCAGGAATCCTAGGCATGTGTCTACGTTCTATCATTCCACAAATATGAAAAATACATAATTTAAACATGTAAAAAATTCACACCGGAAATCAAATCAAAATCATGCATTTATCAATTCATAACACAAGAATAGATATGAACCAAATTCATAAAACCTATGTTCAAATCTAATTAAACATGCATAATTATTTAATTTTATGTGTTTAATAAATCCTGTAATTTCCTAGGCATGTTCAGAAACACGAATCAAAAGGAAAGAGATAGAAGAAGAACTTGTCTTAAACTTTCGGATCGAAAGTTAAATTTCTTCTTCCTTGATCTTCTCTCTATAGGGTTTTTCTCCTCATTCCTTCATTTTCCTCCTTCCCTCTCTAACTCTCTCTCTCTATAGAATATATCACGTGAATATTTCTAACCCCTTTTACAACCTATAGCTATATATTTATAGACTAAATAAAATAACCATAACCCTTTTCCCAATCCAAGTCAACTTAAAAAAAATTAAAATTAAAATATTAAAATGGTAAGTAAAATATGTTACGTATATAATTTATGTATATCTTTATTAAATAAATAAATTATACACATCCCATTATTTATTAATGGATTATCCAACAATATTTAAGTTACCATAATATTATAAAATAACTTAAAACATAACACGTATCAAATCTATTACTACCCAAGTTTTATTATTTTTATGATTTAAATATAAAACATATACATCAGATTGAATATTACTACCCAAGTTACCATAAAAGTAATTAATGAATTACTTTCCCTTTTATATATATTAAAAATGTAAGTAAAATATGTTACGTATATAATTTATGTATATCTTTATTAAATAAATAAATTATACACATTCCATTATTTATTAATGGATTATCCAATAATACTTAAGTTACCATAATATTATAAAGTAACTTAAAACATAACACGTATCAAATCTATGTATATTTTTATTATTTAAATATAAAACATATACATCAGATTAAATATTACTACCCAAGTTATCATAAAAGTAATTAATAAATTACTTTCCCTTTTATATATGTATATATATATATATATATATATATATATATACAAGCACAACAATCCATGGGTAATAATCCATACACATCCAACATCCTATCCAAGTAATCCATGTGACCCAATTGGTTGGCCCATAACTACTAACCATAACCATAAAAGAAAAATAAAATAATAAAAGAAAAGAAAAGATTTAATTTACAATTAATCTAAACACCATTTAAATACATAATTTAATTAAACAATTAACACATAGACAAATACAAATAATACATAGACACATAATCAAATAATTAAGTAATACTTAATTCAATTAAACACATAAGCAATTAGTCAAATAATCAATTAAATAATTAAAAATACAATTAAAACAAATAAATAAATACCGAGACTATCCTTTTAAAATTAGGGGTATTACATTCTTCTACCCTAACAAAAGGAATTCTGTCCTCGGAATTCGCCCTTACTTTTTTCCATTATGCTTGGAAACTGTGAGCGAAAAACATCCTCCTATTCTCAAGTAGACACAACCTGTGATACCCCTCGGATCCGAGACCCGGGTTGATCAAGCCCAGGCCCAAACCCGAGGGAATATCAAACAATTAAAGTATTTTAAAGCGAACACAGATGACAAAATGAAATAATAAAGATGGAATAAAATTGAAAGAAATATTAATTATAAAACCCTCCATGCATAACTGA